ACTGCACTGTCGAGTTGTGATGTGATACGCAAGTGGCTTGCCGTCCTTGCTTTGTCCTTGGGGGCACATGATCAATTATTGAATTTGAAGCCCATTAGGATAACAATCGAGAATGAATTTGCTGGGATCGACCATGGAGGAAGAAATAAACCAGGGTAAATCAAAGCCATTGAATTAGTGCAAGGAATCATAATGTACATAGGCAATACATGTGTACGTATACGTGTAAGTCAGCAGAATGACGACTTACAGCACAAGTCAGCATTCGCGTGAGTCGTCATAATGTCTGAAATCCCGAGAGTGCCAACTTAGCCGGAGTTTCCTGTATTATTTCCTTTGACTTGAACATATCAAGATAGAACTCACAAGTGTATGGGGAGCAGTTCAATTATGCAGATGCACATTTACAAAAAACTTTGTGTAAAAGACATTCTTGTGATAGCAGTCAAAATGGCAAAGTTAAAAAATAACGTCTCCAGCTTTCTGTAGCATCTGTGGCATTTCAAGAGAGTAATCTAGTGCAGTGTTGCTCTGACCTTCTGAAATGCATTCTGCAATCTACGTGAGCTCTTGTCTGACTGTAACTGATGGAAGTTGGAGCTGTGTCTTGCAGCTAAGACATGAATGTCTTGATCACAGCACTCTAGAATGCGCTGTCTTAACAGGTCTTGAAGCTCTTTGTTGGGGTCAAAAGTGAAGGCGTGTTCTTGGAATACACGGATTTGGTCAACGAACTTGGCAATCGATCTGGAAAGAGAAATATGGTTGATACAGATGAATGATTTGAAACAAAGGTACATTTCCTAAATACTCCACAGACTAAAGAGAGACTTGTTTTTCCATTTTGGTATGCAAGAAAAGCAAAAGTAAACAAATGGTGCAAATTAATGCAGGTAACTGTGATTCATATTTATCTCAACTCAAAAATGGAACTAAAGACCTCACCTGTCCATTTAGTGATCCGACAACTGAAAATTAAGTTTACTTATATCCTTTCAAGAGAGTGGAAACTACTTATTTTATGACACAAATGCTAACATCTACAACTTTTAAACTAAATTTCACTAGCCTTAACAGTGGAACAGATATGTTTCGAGACTTTTCTCAGAAGGAAACAGTGCACTTAGCATTGCCCTTAAATTTGGGTGAGACATGATCAAGATGCCTACTTACTTCATCTTGGTCCATTTATACATGCCGTTAGCTAACGTGAAACCACCAATCTCCAGCTGTTGTACATGCATCAAGAAGAGCAGAGTGGAGGGCAAGGTTGGTGATCCCTTGTGAGCATCTCCCTTGATGAGACTCTCGCTGTCTCCTTGAAGGAGCACCTTGCCTGCACAGAGTTCTTCATACAATGTGACCACCTTGGAGGGGAGGTTACGCCACGCCTAGGATGAAGATGAAATAGATGATGAACGAACAACATATCTGGTCATTGAAATTTAGTTGTGGAGAAAAAGTTGAAGTTATGCGCACATTGGGATTTCACCTGTGTACTGTACATCGAGGCCCTTATGAGTTGGAACGCTTTACAAGAATTGCCAACATGACTGAAATATGCACAGAAATATCCAAGAAAACAAATTATGACTTACTGGAACTTGTCTGACGATAAGACTGTCCAGCGCATCTAGTATTTGGACACAGGTGGCAAAGTTCCTCAAATCATAGCAAGCCTTTGCCACATTGATGAACTTGGACAGGTGAACTAGCTGGGTCTAAAATAAAAGGACAAAATGTGATACCTTTAGAAACAGTGGAATTGATCCATGAGTTAATTCAAAAACGTTAAAAGCAAATTCCATTTCCACACCAACAGCAATCTTTAATTACTTCAAGAAGACAGGAAAAAATGTTTGAACAAGTTGTAAGTTAGGTAAAAATTCATGCTTTCATATCTTGCCAGCGGCATTTTGGTTCTGTAGCCTCGGCAGCATGAACACATTTATGGCCGATTTATAGTTCGCACAAAGCGAGCAAGAGCATGAATCTGTGACGTCAGATGAAATATTTGTACTGCAAATTTGTTGAGCACAATTCAACTTGGGCAGAATTTTGCTGCCAAATTTTTGTGACGTCAAATCATTTCGCTCTCCTTAAAACAGATCAATTCACCTTGACGGAGCTGCAGCTAACAACCTCAGCAGACACCCAACGCGAAACGTCCTTGGCATAATCCAACAAAGCTTTAACTGCTCCATCCTCACCCAGTGGAGACGCAAACAGGCTGGGTGTCTCGCCACCATCAGTACCAGGCTGGCCTTTGCCTCCAGCCGTGTCATAGTTGGTGTTGACCCCTATGCCCTTGCAGCGTGAGTTGAGGTAGTGGACGGGATGAACCAAATGGAAAAGCTCCTGGATATGGAGACCAACAATATGTCACACAACAAAAAAAACAATCAACGGTAACAGCGCCCTCAATCAGATGGGCCGCTGACTGGAAAAAAAAGACTTCATTTCTCTTCACCTGCTGTAGCAAAGTGAGCTGGTGGGCCACTGCCAGAGAGGTATGGTCATTGAGAGAGAAACCATCCTTCTCCATGGATACAGCAGGAAGGTAGGCACTGTCAACACGCTTGGAGGAATCCTTCTTGGAGAGACAAGACATGATGCCAGCCTTCAGTTTGCCACGCCCAGAGGTACCCAGGAGACCTTTAGAGTTTTTGGGCCCGGACACCTGCAAAGAAATCAAACGGGAAGTTTCAAGGAAATAAAAACTGTATGCGAGTTCACAAAAATGACGATAAATTTCCAGGCTGATGCAGGTGATTACTGTGTTGGCTGTAGTGCTCTTTATTCTGACTTGACTTGCGATTTATTGAGAAGTTCAGATGTATTCTCTGAATGTGGTGGTGTCAGGAAATTGACTGAATTTCCTTTTTTCAAAGAACTACGTGGCACAATGATGTCATTGATATTCATACATGTTGATCAGTTCCATGTATTTAGTTCAGCCGTTACTTAAATGGACAATCAACTGATTCAAACTTAGAAAGGATGCACACACTCCGCAGCTTTTTATCATCTTTTTAACAATCTTTGATTCAGAAAGACAAGAATTTGGTGTTATAAAAGATGAGGTTAAACTGCTAGTTTTGTTACTTTGTTTAAGGCCCGACTGGTACCTTGTCAATCGATAACTGGTCCCTGACATCATCTTTCATTGAAGCAATCAGTAGACTGGTGCCAGGTTGGTCTTGTTGACGTTTCTCAATCAACTGAATAAGGCACTGGCCATTTGAGTCCACCGAGAGAATCTGAAATGACATGATTTCATGAAAAAAAACTAAGGAAAAATCTTGAGGTTTTTTCAGTTGTTTTCCTAAATTGGAAATTAAACCCAAACAATATCTTGATGAAATGTAACCAACGGCAGAAAGAGATGAATTGTACAGACCTTTTCGGAGATGAAGACGAGTACATCCTGCAACAGTTGAGGATTTGGTTTCAAGTCAACGTCAAAGAAGCCTTCCACCCAGACTTGGAGAATGTCTAATGTACGATTCATAATCTTACTACGATTCTCAGCATGCTGACTGCTCATACTGGAAGTATTAAGAGGTAAGTTGTTTGTCACTTTACATCACACAGGAAGGATTTGACTTATAAAAAGGGGACAGAAATTTACATCTTGGAATTTCATAACCTGGAAACCTTTATTACTGCAGCACAAGTATTCATAGTTCTTTGAAATCACAATGATTGACCTCGAAATACAGTCAACTACACGTATTTTGACTGCAATCTAATAGTTTATGACTTCAATTTCATCAATCTATAAGGTTACGACATGTATTTTAAAACTAAAAACTGTCAACAATCAGTTGTCATCATGTACGTTTATTTGGACTTGATAACGTGTCATCATGAAATGAAAGAAATTACCTCAGAGCACAGTTAAATTTGTTGGTTAGAAATTGCAGCAGTTCTTGTGGGGTTGTGTAGTAATGATAGGTATAAAAGAAATGATGAAGGTAGCCTTGAAGAAGCGCATGCCTGCCGACAAAACAAGTAGTTTTAAGCTCAGCTTTAAACATTTTAATGACTTGATTGAAAATTTGAAAACAACAATGAATATCACATCAGACAATTCAAGATACTTAAATGCAGCAAATTCTATTAATACATACGGGTACATAAAATTGTATACCCATATCAATTCATACCAAATGACAAATATTTACCTAAAACATGAAGAATTTTTTAACACAAAGTGAAACAACTGTCCAGAAGTCTCAGGTTTAGTCCAAATTAAGTCAACTTTTCTAAGCTGATATTACTGTCAAATCAAAAGGATAATCAACACAGGTACGTGTAAGTGTCATCTTAAAGTGGATGAAAAGAATCAACATCGTGGACAGATAAAAAATAAAATGATCTGATGCACTAACCGAGCATAGAGAAATGAGAAGAGACCGGAAGGATGTCCAGCTTGGAGGGAGACTTTATTACGGCTGGTCTTGAAGGCTAGCAGTGGGTTGTCATCCATAGCTTGGAGGTCAAGGGTCATCTTACCAGGGCTGACATAAAAAAATTACCTTACTTCAATATTTATACGATTAATGTATAAGGGGTTACAAGGTATTACTTTGCTTCAGATTCCAAAATTCTGAAGAATTTCATATTCATCTTTTGTTGGAAATTAAACTGATTAGCCAATAACCAAACATAACAACAATTGCTAGATCTTTTAGAAAGTTATCACATTTAAAACAATTTTAAAGACTGAAAAGTGAAAAAGATCCTAGACTTGCAACTACATGTGTCATGTCCATGTGTGTCAGAATGCCAAACTAAATATTTAAGCAAAATCAACTTTAGGGAGTAGATTCTAATTACACCTGCCTTCCTAGTCCTCACCTTGTTGCCAATGAATAGAGATAGCAGAGCTCCAATCCCCACTGCTCAGCATACAGCATCTCCAGATGTCTCCTAGAGGACTCAAGGAACTCTATCCTCTTAGTCATCTCCAGGAGTTGCTTGCCAACTTTAGACGCCATGCTCTTGTTCTCTGCCCCTGAAAAAGCAAGACAGTTATGATGATTGATCTCAAGATAAAACAAACATCAAACATCATCATATTCCTTTTCTTTAACTTCTCACCTTGATGATACATTGTCAATTTACTTTTACTTTAAAGAACCATCAACATCACTTTTTAAAAAGGAAAACACAGTTTAACAATTTGGTATGAAATTCAACAAATACTTCTTCAAATTCGGCCCTTTTAAGTTTGGTGAGGTGGATACAGATATTCCTTTGGTCAGTCTTTCCATTTTTTCCCACATCAAATTGCTTATCAAAAAGCCAGTTACTGATGTACCATACATCAAAGGACTCTGATGTGGGTGGGTACCTTTTGTTTGTTGATTGTGGACCAGTTTCCGGTAGAACTTCTCTGTCTTGTTTCTCATTCTCTTCTCCATCATTAATTGCTGCTCAACATCCTGAAGAAAGTGGACAAATGTTAGAACCCTTTACACAGACTTTGTAAATGTCCTAAAAACCTCTCAGTGAATTCCTCTTCATTTGTTAGTTTCTTTATCATGCCGAAGCAAGTGCAAATTATTGAGATTGGAACAGCAGTTAACAGATTCTATGAGTTGTACTTACAGCAATCTTGGCATCAATGTTGTGCTGCGTCCCTCCTGCATTCGTCAGCTGCTGTGTGTAAGCTTCAACAGTTGGATCAACACTTTCACCTCGATACAACACCCCACTAGGCAGTCCACACCTTGACTCATCCACAGACTCACTGAAAGAGCTCATGGAAGGCAGGGATATGGTGTCCGAGTTGTTGAACGGTGAGCGTGAGTTACCTGAAGAGGTGCTACTGAGTGACCCCTGGCTCTCGCGGCGATTCAAAGACTTGCTCAGCATCTCTCGGATCTTGCGATTCGTGGAGTCGCTGGAGTCTGAGTTGTGGCGGTGAACAGGAGAAGTTGGAGAATTCAGCAAGGAGGGCATGAGGTGACTGGATGTCAGAGATGCATTCAAGCTGATGTTAGGGTCATCTGCGGTGATATTATCTTGATTGAGGATGGAGCTGGAGGCAGCACTGCTAGTGAGGCTGGCTCTTGATGTATTCAGAACTAAAGAAGACTCCTCTAGGGATGTATTCAATTGTAGAAACTCATTTGTAAGATTCAGTGACCCATCAACATCTTTCTTCCTCAGAGGCTCCACATCTGGTCTCTGCAATACCATCCCATTTCTGCCACCAAATTTGCCATTTTTCTCTACATCCTTGGCAAGTTCTGAAGTGTTCAGTTCCACAGAACTCTTTTGCACCTTGGTTAGTGTTCTATCTGGTTTCTCCTTACTATCCCGTCTTGTAATCCCCATGGCAACAATTGATGGCCTTTGAAGACATGCGGTTCCGTCATCATTTTGATCATTCCTCTCTAAATCCTTCCTAACTTCAGCGTCTGCTGGTAGTTCTCTTTCACCTTGCTTGGAATACTCCTTATTAGAGGCATGCAACTCATCATGTGATGAGGATTCTGTCCTTCCCTTACGTGGAGGCAACCTTAGTTTGCTCTCACTGGCTGAAGAATCCTTCCTTGATGCTGTCTGGTCTGGCTTCATGGCTAGAGAAGTCTTTGGCTCTCCTCTGTCTCCTACATCTTTCTCATTTTTCTCCTTGCTACCGCTGGCACTCCTTGAACTTTTCTCTCTGGATTCCTCTTCAAGTCTTATCTCCACAGCCTGTTTCTTCCCCTCCAGACCTTTGCTCCTTGTCCCTGTCACCTTTGATGTCCTATTCACCTCACATCTGTTTAGTGTAGAGGCAGAGCTTGGTGATGTCTTCTTTTCTCCAGCGCGATCGTTGTGCTTGTCATTCACTGTAGATGATGCTTTCTGCCTGGATGACGTGTGCCCTTCCCTGCTAGATTTTGTACGTGGTGGCTTTTTAGGAATTACTGACCTTCAGTGGAGAAAAGCACAAAAGTTATAAGTAAACATTTCCAACCCTCTTAATATCATTCAAAAGTAAATACAAACAACAACACATCTTTTTAGCTAAAAAAGAAATTTGAGATGGTTACAAAGAAATCTGATACTTCTGAATCTCAAAATGATGTTAACAGTTGGTTGACTTACCTGTGAGATTAAGATTAGTATAATTTGTATTGAATGCTAAAAGCCAGCTCTCTTTACATAACCACACCATTCCTTTTAACACGTGCTTAAATTTTTCAACCTTAAACTGCAGTCTTCCCATCCTGGATGAGAAACAAAATATGTGGATTTCCTACTGTTCACAGTCTTACTTTGAAACCTTAAACTATTAACCCACTGCATTACCTATGTTTACTAAGCATCTCGCTGACAGGTTTGACAGGTGGTTTTTGTCCATTGACAGCCTCATACAGGTTTGCCAGAAGATCTTCCTCCCAGTAAAGGTCACAGAATTTCTCAGAGATGGCATTGCTGAAGGTGTGCCAGCTGAGCTTGCCAAGGGATGTGATGTATTCAGCTGAAATGCAAGTACGGAAAGATGAGCTTCAACATTGTAAATTTCTTCAGTTATCACTGTCCGACTTTTTTTACTTGATGTCATCCAATTTGTTCAGGAAAACAGTGCGATCTATCAAATTTAACATTTTAAACTTTGTTAAAAAAAATCTGAAGTGCAGATTCATCATCTCAAATTTATCAATTCATTTCATGGCAAGCAGTGTAGCCCAAGCAAAGAAATGGAAATTAAGTTCAAGCCTATTTAATTCATCATTTATAACCAACCTTTATTTAGAACTCGTTATCTCTTGTTCTAAAGATATGCATGTGTCAATACAATTCAGTTTTGAAAATCAAGAAGAATGAAAAGATCTCCTACCCATGGCCAAGTCTTCGACTCCGTTCTCCAAGTAACCATCGTAGGCAAATGCCTGTCGTATCAGTTTGATGACCTTCTTGAGTGTTGCGTTCCCCTGTAGGGCATCAGCTAGCTGGATCTCTGACAAAGTAGGCAACTCCTCTCCACTAGACATGCTATAGCGAAGATTCACCCCGCTGTCTCTAGACAGGGAGGACATGGAGATTGGTGATGAGGCATGACGATGGGATGAATCCATGGGGCGAGTATCATCTATGTCATCTGTTGAATAGTTTGGCCTCTTGGAAGCATGGTTATCTCTCGGTCTATGGCTTAGATGAGGCCGTGAGGAATGGCCAGATTTGTTTCCTATTTTCTCAACAGTTTTACGGGGAACCTCTTTGGTATCTGTTTTGTGGACAGACAGCGAAGCCTTTGGCCTCTCACAGGATTTACTTCGAGATTTGGAATCCTCCTGTTTACCAACTTTGTCATTGTTTTGAGACTTGCTGCGTTCATGGTTTCTTTCCCGAGCCCGATCAGGATCACTGTGTGATGAGGAAGTCTTTGTGGGCTTCTTGCGAATGACTTTTGGGGAGCTCTTGAGGCGGAGAGTTTCTAGGTAAGATGATTCACTGCTCTCTGATTCACTGACCCGATTTCCTTTGGCAGGTATCCTTTTGGATGGTGACACAAAATGTTTAGCTTTCTCATGACGCTTCTTCTGCTGTTCTTGTTTCCGCTCTGCATTATCTTTCCGAGGCATTTCAGGGGTCACAGGAATACAAGTGCTCTCTCCATCACTGCTTGCGCCAGGACTTTTCAGGCTAGTCCAGTAATTCTGACTGTCTGCCTTGACATCAAAAGCAGTGGAGTTTTTACTGTTTCCAATAGCTGGAGTTTTGCTCACAGCCAAGCCTGAATTAATTGCTCGGGACCCTTGAGATATAGCAGAGGATATCTCACCTAGTACGATGGTAGAACCTCCCTGGGTAGGAGGAGAGGCTTGAGATAAAGCAGGTGACCCTTGGGTTATTACAGGTGACCCTTGACAAATAACAGGCGAGCCCTGAAGGTCTACGGGGAGAACATTAAATAGCCCAGTGGCTGGGTCCTGCTGAAGCTGGACCTTGAGGGGGAAGCTTGGAATGACAATCCCACCAGGTGTTGTTGAGATGCCCGGTGTGGTAGTGAGGACGGTGGGGTTGGTTGCTGGATGTGAAACTTGGGGACTTGCTAACCTCAACGGTGACATCTGACCAAGGACGTTGTTTTGATAAATAGCTGCAAAGGCAGGGGACTGACTTGTGGGCACAGTCTGCAACTGATTGGCTATTTCTGAGGTATTGTTTTGATGGGCTAACAGAGTTTGGTTATTCATTGGTGGGGTGACTGTGGGCTTTGCTGTACAGGCTTGACTAGTTGAAGATAGAATCTCAGCTATGGTTTGTATTTGTTCAGGTTTGGGTATCGTTTGAGATTCAAATGATGACTTATGAGGCTTTTGGATTGGAGAGAAAGCACTATCGCGACTGATTGGCGACCCTTGTACAACTTTCACCTTAGCTTTCTGTACATGAGTCTCTCCACTGCTGGTGCTGTCTTTGGACAGGTGCCTATGATCAGTTTGGGAACCACCCTTCAATGTGATGGCCTCCACTTCCAGAGAAAATTTTCGCTTATCAGATGGGGGATTCTGCACCTCTGGCAGGTTTGAGTTTTCATCTGTAGTTTGCTTATCATCATTTTTGTCTTTTATGACAATTTCACTTGATGGCTTTGAATTAGTTAGAAGTGATTGCTCTACAGCTAGGACAGACTGTTCTTTACTCTTACTGTCTGTCTTTTCTGAGTCTGCAAGACTTGTTTCAGTATCTCCAGTAGTCTGTTCAGTCGGTGATGGAGCAGTGCTGGCCATGGCATCATTTTCCAGTGACTCCAGCATATTAGAAGGTGGCGGTTCCTTCTTAGGCCCTTTCAGATCCATCTTGATTGCCTCCATGGCAGCCTTGGCCTTAGCCTTGGCCTCTTCCACGCTGGGAGAGCTGGTGGAACAAGTCAGACTCTTGGTGCTACCAGATTTCTCATCAGCGACGACAATAGGGGTAAAGTGAGTCGCTGAAGACACCAGGCTGGCAGGAGTCCTAAAATCAGCAATGCTGCTTCGACGGTTGGCAAAGAAGTCCTGAAGTTTATTCAAGTCCCGGATGGAATTGTAAGACATGTCTGTCCCCGAGAGGCATTCTGTTTTCCGTCTGGATCTCTTGGATGCAATGCTTTTGGGTCCCACAGCAGGGTTCTCACTCCTCTCTTCAGTGATGTTGTCAAGACTTGAGCGGCTGGATTTGGAACTGTGGTTGGATCTGCTGGAGTGGCTCTGGCTTGCACGGAAAGCTGATGAGCGAGGCTCAAAGGAGTGAAATGCAGCAATACTGTGGGATCGTAATGTCCGCTTGAATTGCACTGGACTCTCTGGGTCTGATTCCTCATCATCAAGCCAGGGATCGTCTAAGATCATATCCCCTTCCAGCATCGAGAAATCGTCCGTTCCAAGAGGAGACAAGGGCTCAGTGCTCTCTGAGTTCTCATCTCCACTTTCAGTTTTTGCATCTGCAACCATCTCGCCTCTCAACCCTATCTGTTCGGCTGTCCAGGTTTCGTCAATCTTTCCTTCACTCTGTGGCTTACGTGATTTCAAGAACCTGGCCAGGGCAGCAGACACTTTGACTGAGTTTGGAGAGTGCGAACTCTCAACATTAACCCCGTCTCCATTTGTGTGCACTGTCGACACAGTTATTGACGGGACATCAGATTCATTCTTAGAGGACACGGGATCACTGTTCCTCTTAGACCTAAGCCAGTTCCCAGCATATGACTCTCCCATGCTGGCTACACTGTTATGCCTCCTCATGACAGGGGACCAGTTTTTCTCAGGTATATTTTCGCCAGCACCATTTGAGTTTTTTGAAGCTCCCAACTGGTTCTCATTTGTGGCGTAGATCTTCTTCAAAATTTCCTGGGCACGCTGAGAGAGGTTGTTTAGAGCTGCCACTGTTGGTGCCTCTCTCAGGGGCTTTTCTTCGGCAGGGTCTAAAACTCCAGTTCGTTTCTCATCGGCCATCTTTGCAGTTTTGGAGTTGATGGGGCTGCGGCTTCTCAAAACGGTTGGAGAGGGAGAGGCTGACGATGAGATGTTGAAAACATCAGATGGGCTGAGGGAATCCCAACTTGTGCCATTGCTTAGACTGTGTCTCCTTGAGAAGAGCACCTGATTGGCTGTAGATGACCGTCTTCTGACCAAGAGTGATTCGTCATTAACTGCACATGGAGAGATAATGAAAGTAAACAAGTTGAGACAGAGGTACCGGGTAATGCTACCAGACCTTGATGACCAGCATCTGATCAGATCCCTGATGCATTCCATTGCTTTCATAGCAAAGCTTTGTAAAATTGTTCAAAGTTTTCAGATACTGGAATTCATTACTGTATCAAATAATCATCTATGACTGTACATGTAAGTGAAGCATTTAACTGCCCTTGGGAAAGGTACAGTGAGACACTCAAAATGGAATTTAGTATCTGAATCTTCTCAACTTACATTATGTGATAATCAAAAAACTCTGGTTCCCATTCCCATCTACATAAAGCTTCCTTGTACCCTAACCCCCAAGGGTGTATGTAAAATCGTATTGAAATTGGAGGATTTGGGACTGTTAAGGTTAATACTTATATACACCTGTAGCACTTTTCATTTGTACTACTCTACAGGTGCTTCGCTGTTGTAGTAGAGTAATATTCAAAGATTTACTTTAAGGAGAGGTACAGGTAAACGGACTTCCCATAACCTCCTTGTCTATGGTTCTATTTCCATCAAAGTCCTGATATGGATTGCATATTGAAGTCTTGGGTAATCTCCAGATTGCCACTTCAAGCCTGCTTGTACATGAACACGTACCTGGCAGGTCATAGCAGGAATCTATTGATATTCTCCGCCTGCTGATTGATGACAGCTGCCGACAGATGAAAGTGGAAGGGTCCTGTAAGTTCCTCTCGCACGTCTTCACGATCTCAGGAACCTCGGGTCTCTGGTTGGGATCCTCCAACGATAACTGTTTGACCAGATCATACAACGGCTGGCTGATCTCAGCTTCGCTGTCATCATGAACACAGTATTCGGCCGCTTCTAAGAGGGTGAGTGCCAGAGAGTAAAGATGACCCTGAAAAGTAAAGAGATTTGGGATCAGCCAATCAATGTGGATGAATGAATACTCTGATGCTAGGAGAATCCCCCTGCTGATTGGTTCTAAATTATTCATGAGGTTCCCGGGTAGTCTGAGAGGGATGTCTAAAGTCCTTTTGTTTAGCTGATTGTGAAATGATATCTTGAATAATTGTCTTGGGTTTTGCCTGTGTCATGCACTCATGCTGGGATTGGGGCCATGCTTGTAGGGTTCTTGATAAACCTCAAACAACTAATTATTGACTGAATTGAAATCTTCCGCATGATCAGACCCCAACCTTGAGACTAATAATGAAATTCAATAAACATCCATTCGATAAATAACTTTACCAACCTAAAAATTTGAGGTTAATTAGAGGGACAGGTATTTACTCTGTAGCGAGATGTACATGTGTACATGTGCAAAGGTACACAAACCACTTGCTCTGGAAGTTGCTAAATTAACACAAAACAACAGTTATGTATATGTGTACATGTCCATATTATTTTTATTAAATTACAGAAATGACTCTCAACAACAAGCTATGTCCGTGCATCTGCCTGTGACCTGTTCATAACTTGGTCTTGCAATGTCTGAACATTTTCACAGCACTGCTGGTGGTATCCTTTGCAGATGTGTAAAAAAAAAATATGCTTAGCCAACAGACACTGCGACAAATCTTTCTGGGAGTTTTTCAACTTTCTAGGCAGCAAATATCAGGAGCTTCCTCATCCTTGAAAGAGAGAGAGTAATTCATTTCACTTGAAGGTGAAAATCAATGAGGAATTTTTCTTATCCATAGAATTTAATTGGACAGAAGTACCTGAAGTAGGTTTAAGTCTCAACTGTGTACACTGCCTTTTTTAGACACAGCTTACCTAGAGAAAGAATGGGACAAAAGATATCGAAAGAGCGAGCTTCGAGGGAGAGGATCTGATCCTAGCTTAGTCCTAATAGCAGGGGATACTGCTATATTCATGCTGCCCATGCGGCCCATTGTCGTGCCCTGTATGCAGCTTTGGTAATTTGTGTCACCACGGATCAATAACTCGAGGGAGTGGGAGAGCAGAGAGCAGAGTGGCAGGGAATTGTTGTGATAAGCTCTTGGGGATGTCTGCTGACAACTAGACTGGCCCAGGATCGGCATGATTGCTTGATCAAAGTGAGTCCTGCTACCAGTGCATGTACATGTACCTCACTGCTGGTGGAAAAATCCTGACAAGAAAACACTTCTAAGGTCATCCATTGTAGAATTTTCCACTTATCATGGCTGGGGATGTAGCAATAGAGTGTTAGCTTTTTGTTTGTTTTTTAAACTGCACAACCTCTGGTAACAAGCACAGACAAATCGAGTGTGAAAAAGCAGTTCTTACATTGTATCACTAGGTTTATTGTTGTACAAGTAAAATATGTGCAATTAGCTCCATTCTTACATTTCATTAAAGATATGGTGTCTGCAAATATGTCTTCTTAATCTCTTAACCAAAGTTTTCATTTTGTTCTCCTGGCATTAGAATTTAATTGTATTTTTTTGGACATGTTGAAGATTGGATTTTTGATGGAATGATCAGTGAAATACATTTTGTATTATTTTCCAGTAACCACAGGAATGTTTATGATACAATATAGTTTTAGAATTCATGTCAATGTGATTTCTTTCACTATCATTTAGACTACAGGTACTTTTAATAGCGACAGGTGAGTCTTCCATTGTAACGTCAATCTGATCTCGGTACATGATCAAATTTCACAAATAGGACCTTCTTTCTAATATCATCAAAAGTCGGAATAGATGCACAATAACTTTCTTTTGCCATGTCTGTACAACTACCTCTCAGCCTTGCCCTAAGGCCGGAGAATGAAGAGTACATCCTTTACATCCAAAAGGTTAAATGTGAAGCAACAAACTGAGAAATCAATAAAATCTGTCCCAATCTTGGACAAATATGCACAGGGTGGGTGTAACAGATCTGTTTGTCGCACCATCCACTGGCATATTCAATGCCAGTGAAATGGATCATGAGCAAAATTTTGAATACTGGATGAAAACTAGGTCACAGGCTCAAGCAGAGATAATTTATCTGGGATTAGGGTGCATAACCATAACAACCAAACTGTATCTAAAGCTAGCCAGCTGGGATGCTAAAACGAGTTTAATGTGCTTACTTTTGAGTTTAAGGATGCCACATACTGGCACTATTAGTTAATCATTCTAAGTTTAGAGAGCAGTCTTCTCTTCAACACAAAAAGAATAAAGATTTTGTAGCATAAACTGCCAGCCACATATACTGGTACACAAATGTACATGTACATGTAGACACCGTGAATTTTTTGTCTTACACACATTCTTGGAATTCAATATCCTACTTCTGGATTTGAAGCTAGTCAGATTTTTTTTTCTTTGCACGAAATGGGGACACAAAACCTGAAGGGGGAAATTTTAAACCATTCTGGCAAATTTCTTGGGCAAAAGCCTGAAGAAAAAAAGCATTGTGTTGGAATAATCTGTTCCAGCAAAAAGTAATGTAAGTTGAACAGGTCCAAAAGGCTGCAGGGAGTTTAATTCTACCCTTCAAGTATCACTACGGGGAAAGTGGAAACATGATACTGTTTAACCAGGCCAGACTTCTGGATTTACAAGTAATGCCTAAAGTGACAATTTCTTCTTGTGACAGAATTATTCATTTTTTAGCGAACCAATTTGTAAGGGGTGGTCAAGGGAAGATTCAAGGCAAAGAGAAAGTCAGTAACCAGTTTGGAATTTCCTCAATCAGCTTTACGTTGTCACATAAAATGACAGCAAATGGCTGTACAAAAAAAATAATTGAATTACCTACAACAAAACAATCTTCATACATGTACATGTATTTCATAACGGCTTAGAATAAAGAAAGGTTCAGGAATGTTGGTTTCCCTGTTGGTACATGTATAGTGTCAGAACTTGTACAGAATCCACCACTGTTGACAAAGAACGTTTTTTTTAAATCTAACAAAAGGTGCATGACCACACACTTGTTTACAAGTCACCAAACTGCACGTAAAGCTTGCTCTTAAACTGATGAACACCAAACCAAACAACTACCGGTACAGTCAGATATAGCAGGCAAGTCAACTGAATCTTGCACCAAACAATTGTACAATTGTGCTTTGGGTAGTCTGTAAGCATGTACATGTATTTGGCCCACCCAGGGGGCACAGAAAACCCAAATATTAGTTGTTTATGACATCCATTTCAACAACGATGAATGGCGTCACTGAACCTAACGTCAGTGGATTGCAAAGAAATTGCCCCCCCCCCAAAAAAAACCTGCGGAGTTCAATTCTACACAGCTGAAAAAACCATGTGCAATGTCAGTACACAGTGTTAACGAAAGGTTTAAAACTACTTGTAGAAGTTGGGATATTGATAAATCCATAAAACAGCAAAGACAAGCAGTAGGTGTGGTGCAAAGTTTGTCTTTCCTGTTCACTGCCACACCGTCAGAGTTGCAGCATGATTTTAGGGAGTTAAGGAATCTATTTTGTGATAATCATGAGGAATATTGTGCTGTCGAAATGAATTAAACTCATGGACAAAATTTAACCTACCGGGTAACTAAATTCACTTTTACTGTGCGTTCATACTCATACAAATCATTATCAGTCACACACCTTCAGCCTCTTAATCCTTGGGTGACACTAATGAATGCAACAATATTGTGAGTCAACGGTAGGGTGAAAGCAGTGAAATATTGGTTCCTACCAGGTTCATAATGACTACTGTCATGTTGTCAGGTGCAACTATGAAAGATTCAACGTGTTTTTGGGCAATGCCTAGGCTTTAGAAATTCATCTATTGGAGTTTTACAAATGTGCAATGTAATTAGCATTTTCAACATGGTTACACATCAGGCATGAATACTGCACCAAATTTGGTCTGCTTTTTCAATGTTTTCACTAGATGAAACAAGCTATAATCAATTAGCACGAAAAGCGTTTAATTATTTCTATGCATGCTTATTGCTCAAGTATGTTCATATTCCTTGGCACAATAAAGATTCCACATTTCAAGTCTGTGCTGCAATTGGAATGAAGATACAAGTATCTTTACCCAGTGTATAAAATTAGTGAAGACTGAGATACCGTATGTGTACACTGTCCAAGTAAGTATCAGGGTAAAAGACCTAAAAGGTAATGACTACATATTTTTAGAGGACGTAATTTTTGAAAAAAAAACAAACTGATATAACCAATAAATGGAAACACTATTATATAGTTCACAGAAGACCTTGTCTGAACCCATGGTAAAAAGGACCATACGATATATCATCATCCTTCTCCAACTTCACATTAATAACAGCTTTACACCATTCTTTTGATGAGAATATAAAGTTATACGGTCTACCAGATAGACTAAATAGATTTTTCAGTCCGAATCGGGGTCACAATCCAATTTTACTCCTCGCTGCTTTGGGATCATGTAAGTCACCCCCAAAACCCCAAACGCTAAGCCTAATACTGGACGGACAAAGGTACCAACTTATCGGACCAATGCAGCCATACAATATGAACCAAACGGGAGGTTTAATAGAGGAATAACATCTCATGGGAAAAGTAATCAAAAGTCAAATCTTGAAGTTCGGGAAATTTACAAAACTCATCACAATTCATTTATATGCTTATGATGAACAAGTCCATAATTTCCACACTACTTTTTGGAATGCCATCATTTCAATACGCCAAGGATAGTCAGCTGGTCACTCAACTAAAAGGCTCTTTCATAAATGGTCTACCTGGTCAAGCTGGGAGCTAGAGCTTTGTTCACCATAATGCGGCTGGACAATCAAGGTATAAATTTTATTGTGGTAGGGGTTGGTAAAATGATCCATTAAGGCTTTTGCACTTATCACAAAATGAGCTCATAAAATTAGCATCAAAAAAGCAAGTGGGTGGTGATGGTGTTGGACAATTGTGAAAAGTTACATGTACGTTGCAACTAAAAGTTAACCCAGCAATGGGAAGTTCTTTATAAACATTTTTCTCTTCCACAGGAATTCATTTTCATTTCAAAAATGTGGAAACAATTTCCAATAAGGGGAAAAAATCTGTTGATCTTTTCACACAAGTGGAAAAATATTTCACATCTTTTCACCATGTGGGAAAATATTTTCACACTTTCTCCAAGTAGGAAAACATTTTCACGCCTTTTCAAAAAGGAGAAAATAGTTTCAAGCTCTGTGAAAGGTGAATAAGAATGAATGCGAACATGAATTCTTTCCACAAAATTTCCCATTCACAATTAATGTTAACATTCAATTGTAATGTACTGTTCTGTATTTCAACTAAGATTTGAAACTTTGCATGGTGGCGGCTAGACTGAGAGAAGGTTCCAATTAGGGTTTCCCTGTTTATTCAGATGAGGCAACCCACTTTACTGATTTTAGTAACCACCTCACACTTAAAATAGACAAAGGTGGAGGGAAAAAGCACAATAACTTAGTTTGAAATGGATCAGTTTTAAATTGTTGAGAATGGTTAAGAGAGAGACAGAAAACAAGATTGATTTACCCCGGTATTTTAGAGGGAAAAATGTGGACTACACAGAATTTATTTTAGGCCTTTTTGAAAAGACCTGGTTTTGTTTTAGGAACAAAAATTTTGGCCAAAATTGTTTGACCATCTCACACATATCAGTCCCTCAGGGGAAACCCTGGTTGCAGGTACACTATGGGGAATTAATCTTTTCTGTATGAGTGGTCATTCTTCTAAGAGTGCACATTACACGTACAGTACCTTACTTAAAGATTGAATCTGTTACACGGACGTAGCTGTGGAAATGATTTTTGTAATGAGAACATTTGTGATGACAATCCATGCACACTATCCTACATACACCATCAACCTCAATTCCAGGGGTAAGCTACAAATCCATGGTTTATATACTGCGCATGCACTTCCACACACCAACTGAGAAAGATACATTGAATCAAACTTGTTTCAGGCTGAGACTTGTACTTACAACATCTGGAGAGCTTCTCTACAACTGCTTCAGATTTCTTCCTGAAAGAACACAGCACTTGAGCTAAACCAGCAGCTTAAAAACCTCCCCTTGCTTGTACATGTGTGCCCAGCATGTAATCCAGGTATTGTTGCCAATTCTTGGAGGAGAAATGCCCTTCAGCACAGAAGACTCCCTTGAAATCCTTGAGAGTTGTTATTCCGGTCTGGTGGACTAGGCAACATCCAAGCCCTCAACATACCGAATCCCGTTGAAATCAAAGAGAGACATTTCAAGTAATACACTACAGGTGTATGTACCATCTCAAAAATAGATAATCCACCAGATGTACTCGCAGATGTACCCCTTGTAACTCAGAGCCCAAGTCTAACCTCAGTGATGAAAAGAACTGGATTTAATCCTGGGAAAAAGCTGAGCTCAAACAAGGTGTATATAGTGACTGCAGCATTCTCAAATCTCTCAAAAACTCAAAATCCAACTTTCTAGGTTTCACTTGTCACATACACTGTGGTACACAGAACGACCCTATTTTTACTACGGTTAGTGATGAAGTCAATAGGCGAGCTCTATGTAAACACGACCAACCAGTGATGGACAAACAACCTCACGATGACAGATCAAAGACGTGCTACGTTTGCATTAATACACTCCCCCAGAGTACGTAAACCCGGCACAAACTAGCCATAGATGGTCTTAACCAGCAACATCCCTTTAACAGGTCTCTGACCATAGCCCTATTATCAACACAACAGTTGTCTTGTTTGCTTCTCTTAAGGCCTGAATGGATGAGGACTCTCTCTTTCTGTCCCTGTCAGTATTCCACTGCTTTAATTTGCATATTATTGATCACAGCCATTGACACGCCTCCTCCATTTACTGGAGTCCACTTCTGAACAATAGAGGGCAGTAGATTAAGTTTTCTGGAAGGTTCTTTCAAAACTCTCACTGGTTCTCAAGAGAGGGCAGCAAAGTGAGAAAAAGAGAAAGTTTTTTAAGTCTGACTATCTCAGAAAAATAGAGGGCAATAGACACACTAAAGGTTCCTTGAATGCATGAGGTTCTTCGAGACAGTTGGCTTGTTCTGGACAGTAGATGGCAGCAGACTAGGACACTGAAACAGCAGCTCCTTCCAACAATTGCATGTTTAAAATCACATCCATCACAAAACACTCAATGAAATACACAATTACACCCTTTTTACTAAAAATAAATGTTCAAACTTGGTCAACAGAGAAAAACTTAGAGAAAGAGCTCTGGTTACAATATTTGGAAACATCCACCATGATAAACTTGCCCAGTCTGAGAGCACAGGCACATCTCTTAAGACCCTAAATTCCCTAGGTGAGAGAAATAATTCAATTAAAACCGTGGGAGTGACACCTGTAATAGAATTAAAGCCTACCTTGACTGAGGTTCCCTTTTTTGCAGAGTACTCAGGTGGTCTGAACTTACTATCCACTACATCTGTAGGAAAAAAGGGAAAAAACATTGATTTCATTGCGGAATATTTCCATTTTTCTAGTTACCATCTTTATTAAAATGAACTCAATACACGTATTACCAATACTGTGATTGGAGTGAAGGAATATATTGACCTGAAGTTAAAACTAAAATGATTATGTATTTGTTTTGCATTCAGCTATTTGGTTATTTTTAATTATAAAGGTATTTGAAGGTTTTCTTTAACACAAAATTGTTGCCCAAAACTAAAGACTGGAAAATCTCCACAAAATATTTGGAAACCACAAGTAGACTTCAAGAATAAGGCCTGGTGAAGGCATTAAACAGTTACAGCAAATGGCTTTGTTTTAATGAATTGTAACAATGTTTAAAGAGTGATTTTCAAGCAGAAAAATTTTCCAAAGAGGTGTTTCATTTTGACTCAGCACCTAAAGACATTTCTTTGATCAGTCCTAATAAGACAGTTGTGTACCTGTAACTCATGAGGCAGCACGCCAACATGACCGGTACAGTCGTACATATAAGGACCAATTTGTATTCCCTCAACCCATCTGTACATTTATGTCATGTCCAGGGGTATTCATTGACTCTGATTCTTTGGTTGCTATGGCAACCAGTGGATCGTTTACATACCTGCCATTTGATTTATGTAAGAGTTCCATTAGCCTATGTGGAGTTCATAGAGATCAACCAAAATTGGACAAGTCCTAAAAGCATCTTGATAAATGGTTTAAATACACCAACGTAATGCTGAATAGGTGTGACTTTCACCCCTCAGTTCGGTTAAAGGTGTGAACTTTCAATTTGCCGAATTTTGGGGGTGAGACTTTGTGACACGTTTCAAAAGTGAGACATGACTTGATCTAGTTTGAGGGAGTGTGTACTTTGATCCTCCATGCATGTACCGCTAGGAAATCTTAATGATAGACGGTTACACTTTTGACCCTTTACTGTTGCTCACAAAAGAGTGGCAATTGGTGTAAAGTTTGGACACACACATATATTTGGATTTACTTCAAATTATAAATTTGTCTTCATTTCATTTTCAATTAGTTCATGAGTAACTTATGAAAAATCTCCTTCACCTGTTTAATCTAGCAGGAAGTTACGACACTGTCATCAATCAACATCTCTACAATTACTACAGTGACTTACAACTCCTAAGAGAACAGGTTTCAGGTGACATTCCCTGGAGTGGCTCCCCTCGTTAGAAAAGCCACAACTTCACACGAGATTAAACTGTAAAAATGATTTAGTGGCAAGTTTAGGCCAGCAGGCCGCCAATGTTTAGGCCACTGGCTCGTAAAGCCTGAAATATTTACGAGTTTTTGCTGCATTACTTCACAAACACCTCCACATTTACACACTCAGACCCCTTAGCCCATAGATAGCTGTAAAGTTGGTTTGTGCACATTGTACATCTATAAAGGAACCAATTGATATGTTACCCATGGATTTGAATAAATATGTAAATAATGCCGTGTATCATTTTTTTAATTTTCAAACTACATAACCATCATGAATAAACTTTCTGTATTAATATCAACAGTGATTATGTCCCTAGTTCAATTTTTGTTGTCATGGATTTTTTTATATTTTTGATGTTAGGAACTTTTACCAGGACTACATGTAACTTTAATTCCTGGCTGTAAAACAATCTTCATCCAACATCCAACTGTACCCCTTGGTGCTACAATTTCTTTTCAAAAGTATCATGGAATTATCTAAACACAGGAGACAAAACCAACAGCAAACAAACTTCCTCCATTGACAAAATGAAGGTTGTTTCCTCCCTGGGGAATTAATGTTTTGGGACTACACAAAGATCAGTCCCCAACTAAACCCTAGTTGATACTTCTCAATGAATTGAAATCCACACAACTATTCATCCAATTGGACCGAGCTTGACCAGTGACAGTCTTTGGGTCTTTTCATCCTCTAGACTGGTCAATATCCCTCATGGCCAATCTCCTTCAATCATCCTGATCAGCCCTTATCAATCCGTGAATGAATCCCTAATTGCTGTTACTGTCTGCAGGTTTTAGGCTTAGGGGAAAATCAGACCACCCTTTGCGTTTGTGTAAAGAAAAGGACAGTCTTCGATTCAACAACTATTTCAAAAATGTTTGTAAACATTACATTTAAGAATGCATCTACATGGGCATAGAAGAGCATTGAAAAAGACAATGAACAGCCAGCCCACGACACATGTATGGACGTATTCATGGTCTATGTATCTCTGACCATTATGTACATGTAATTTACATGTATCCTGCATCACCTTTCATTTTATTAGTACTGGTAATTCTGCCTTGCTCCCATATCGTCCTTGCCTTGCTCCCATATCGTCCTTTGTTTGATTTGTACAAATTGTTTTGATTTAACTGCATATTTCCCCTGTATTAACCTCGATTTTCTTTTTAATTTTACCCTCAGTACATTTCTTTCTTGCTGCAAAGCATACAAATTGGTGATTTGCAAGGAGGCCAGGAAAACAAGGATGCTGCTTTTAACACAATATCCTACATTAACAGTGAATCATACATGTAGATAATCCAGGAAGGAATTACCATATCCCTACAGGTGCCCAATTTGAGTGATTTGCAACCCTGACACCTGTGACCATGACTACATGGAAGACCCCTTCTCCTCCCCCCTCCCCCCCAAAAAAAATTACCTTAAAAGGTCCAGGATATTGAAATACAGGCAGACAAAAAAACTGCATGAACATGTAAACGTGCATAGAATTAAGATACCTGCAAAAAAGAAATCACACAAAAGAATCCTAGAGGCATTAACTCTCTGCTCAGGGTAAACAGTGTCAAATAAACCACTTGATTCTAAACCTTACTATAAAAGCATCTTGGTGCCACACAGTTCACCTTGAACTATCGATAGTGGCTGAAATACATGTACATGTACACAGAATTGTTGGGCTACACAGACTTTGAAAATTGGTTAATTACAATTGACATGCATTACATGTAACCTGTGAGGTGGCCTAAATTTATGGTAAATCCCATGAAAAGGATTAGGTGGATTTCAAGAGAATGGGAACCCAAGCAAAGCTGGGTTTCCATTCTGCAGGATCTGTTGTCTGGACTCCTGACCTCAGCCAGGACAAGGTCAGGGGTCGGTGTGATTATTTAAAGGAAAACTAACCTAGCTTGACAATTAAAGAGTTGAACTTGGTGACACTTTTAACAAAAGGAAGTGGAAAATTTCACACAAGAAACCAAACAGTGGGACTGTGTGCTTGTATAAGGAGTTACACATATACAGGTATTCTCAACAATGAACCCAAGCCCTAAACACTAACTTATTTAACACTTTTGCCAAAAGTAATACACAAAAAACCAATAATTCCATTCCATTAAAAAAAAATTATTACTCCATAGAGGAAATTACATGTACATTGCTCACCAGTTTAGAGAAACAGAAAACTTATTTGCAAGAAAATTGAAAAGAACACAGGAAAATTTGGGAATATTAAATATGCAATAATGTGAGGTTACTGTTACTTCAGTAGGGCAATAAATGAAAGAAAGCCGAATTTCATTCACGTATTTAATCATGATACCGGTAACTGGCATTGACAATGAACAAGTATCAAAGGAAATGTCAGAGTACATGTAAATACCACTTTTACAACCTGGGGAGTCAGGTTGGTGTAGTGGCTCTTTCCTCCCCTTCCACCTCTGTGACTCGGGTTCGAATCACACCTAGGTCAGCATGTGGATTGGGTTTTTCAGTCCCTGCCTGATTCCGTGGGTTTTCCCTTAAAAATTTATCTGGGATTTTCCACCTCTAAAACTGAATATTTCTTTCACTGTCTCCTTCACTGGCACTTCATCCTGTGATTAGCGCTAAATACACCGTTAGATGATTTACATATTATTCAACAATAAACAGCATTTTCTGTTTATCTCAGAATCTATATACATTATACATACTGGTAGCTGTAACCTTTACCTGTGTGTGCATCACATACACTTTCATTTTATAGTTAAATGAAGGTGTGACACCAATCGTAAATCAGAAAATCAAGCTGACCTAGGATTGTGGGCCTACCAGGCAAAAAGTACATGTACACCCAGGTGAAAGTGTGAGGGGGGTTTTTGTATCTAAAGCCAACAGCTTGGATCTCCTAGCAACAGACGCAGGATAGGACGGTGGGACCAGTGAAGCGATGCACCAGCTATTGTGAGGTTGGTGGATAGCCCTGTCCACTGGGACAGATCTCATTTTACAATTGTTTGGATACAAATTACACGTGGGAAGCAGTGAAAACGTTGGCAAGCGTGCATGAGTGATTACCAATTGCCTGGGGTACGTTTACATGTACATTTCATTGGTCAATGACTTCTGGAATTTCACACTGATTGGCTCCTGCATGAATACAGCATAGGCTACATGTACTTGTACATTGAACATACATGGCATTTAACATGTACAGCAAACCAGTAGATTGTACAAGTAAAAGTACAAACAACAAAGTACACTGTTACACATAAATAACAGGGTTTTTTAGCTGTTTTGGGACAAGTTTAACAACAGATCCTTGAACACAAATTGAGTTCTGGCACCACCAGTAATTTGACAGACTGCCAAGAAATGACTCAATGATGTTATTCAAGCAGCTACATGTACCCTTCCCCCATGTCCCACCTCCCCCCCCAAAAAAGGGTTGTTCCAAATAATTGAATTTATGAAAAAAAGGGGGTTCAAAAAGTGTTGCTCATAATCTACAATGTGTACTGTGTGATCCACCCAATCAATAGAGGCAATTTTCCTCTACATCACAAATCTGAACTCTGAAAGCCTCCAACAGGTAGGCTTAAAAAAATCTTGGCCTAGAGGTACATGTACATGTACTTTTCAAAAATCTTGACTTGGTGAAAATAGTGTTTTTGTAGAAACAGATGGTAAATGTACCCTACTGTCCCACGGACCAAGTAACCCCAAATAAACCCTCTTCTAGAAGTCTGCAAGTATTGATTAGGGCATCTGCACTTTTCCAGTAGCATCACCAATGTGCCACATTTTAACCCTCTGGAGCCATTACCTTTTCTTTCTCAATATTGATCAGAACACGTACTTGATAACTTAACGAGGACATTCTGTGTACCGGCCCTCTTAAGCTGGCTCCCTGTACCACTGATAGCCTGCCAGCTTTTGTCAGGGGATTAAGAGACTAAGGCATCTCAGAACAAAAGGCAACTTTTCTTGCAAAGTCCCCTCATGCAACCGGGAAAAAAAGCTGGATAGCTTGAGCAGTTTTAATCACCAAATCACCCAGGAATTGGGGAATTGGAGAGCAGTTACTGTTGGCACGGTTCGGGTTTAATTCGGAAGTCAACAATTTGTCAAGCCGAGATCAACACTGGACAAAAGTGCAAGTTGTTACTGTATCTTTTCTTTTTGTAACGGCGGCAGGAAAAGCACAAGATGAAACGGTACTTTGGCAAGGGATTAGGACCTGAATCGATGATCCTTTTGAAACGACCATCCAAGATCCAGTCCTCAAGTGATTTTTCAACTTTGCACTAGGACAAACAAGGAAAAGTTTCTTATCTTGTCCAAAATGAAGACCTACTTTACCCACAAATGCAGTTAAAATTTGAAGTTTTGAAAAAATCCCCAACAAAGATTTAATAAAATTCTGCTACACATACACAAACCTCCACAGAAACTATGTCAGTACATGACATGCAATACCGAGTCATCATTTCTGTCCTGGTACCTGTTTCTCCTTGTTTACCAAATAAAGCAACTATGAGGTCCCAAAGGGAGTGCTAAATCCATCCGAATCTCTTCCGAAGGACACTAATTTGTAACTGCCGCCCAGAATAGCTTTAGGACTTTGTAAGTCATCCCGGGCAATCAATGTAACAAAACACTTCATGTACACATTCAGTGATTTGGAAGTTTTTCAGACTTATGAAGAAAACCTCACACAATAAAAGATTTCAATGTTTGGGAAGGCGGACGAACCTCAAAAAATGAATTTTCGTTTCAGAAATAAATTACACTTCAACAATTTATTATTATTTTTTTAAGGTTCAGTTTTTGTCGGCTTACAAGAAACGAGTATTCAAATGAAACAAGGAGTAAACACAAAGTGTAAGTTCTTACTAAAATGTAGTACTGTGGTTCACAGCAAGGAATTTCTCAGAGAAAGTGGTAAAGTGCCAAAAGAATCATTAAAAGTGTCAATAGTGAGGTGGTGTGAAATTCTACTTTGGGAAATGCATATTTGTCTGTCAACATGCTGTCCATGTGTTTACTTCCATGGTCACATCTTTTGTTGCTGATGAAATTAGCTTTTCCACCCACTACTTAGATGACTGGTCCATCAATACCCCAACCAAACCCACCTCCACTGGTGTGGGCATGCTTTTCCATTTCTACATTTTATGATTCAAAGTTTCACAACCCGAACTGGAAAAACGTTAACCAATTAAACAGCATCTCATTTTGCTGAGTTATTTTGAGGAGAGTCCAAGTTGCACAGGATGTTAGGATGTTAGTTCCAAACTGACCTTTGCTTAAACAGAATAAAACACACCACACCAATTCATTACCTGCATCAATGAAGCACACACCACCTCCACTGTCAAAAGCCAATGTGTCCAGACAGAGACAAAGCTTGCTGAACTGGTCGGCTGAGGCTCTCCGGAATGCATCCAATGATAGAGTGCATTCCTTACACACTGCCCACATCTCCACCTCCCGGAGACAGCCATGACGGAGATCTAAGATATCCCTCAGAGAGACCAACTCCTCATCTTCCTGGAGTGTAGGCAGGGGCTCGAAGAGGTACATGTAACTCATCTCTGTCTGGAGGATTTGCTCACATAGTTCTCCTCAAAAGTGTTGAAACTCATTACGTCATCTTTTCACTGTTAGATTTCGATAAATTCCAAGGACCTCCTTACAGACATGATTGTAACATTCCTGTCCAAGTCTTGCTTGGTCGCAATTTGAAAAAATACCGGTAATTCCATTTTCAAGATTGGTCTGAATGATTTCCAAATCTAGTTTTTAGAGTAGAAAGCACACTTGCGATACACATGTACATCCATGCACATCAGGCCTGTCACAGTAGATTAAGAAACTTTAGTCTTCTGCCGCAAAACTTCAGACTTTGAGATGTCCATTCACATGTACTCAGCCAGAGGCTGGTACATGTTGGTGATATCATTCTATCTGCACTCGGACAATCATAAAACCTAGGCACTATTCCAGCTCAAACTTCAACCATCCATGAGCTTCCACTTTTCCAATCTTTGATGTTAATTCCAAACACGTGGATGTTGAGACAAAAGCACCGTCATACTGCTGGTATTTGACACTCTCTTCTCTGTTCTAAACCACCACCAACTCTTGACCCACGGTAGAATCAGCAATCCAGCTTGTTAAAGTACCTTCCACACTCTCCAGTTAATATTCCCAGCAGTGCATGTAACTTAACACCAGGAGGTGAATATCCCCGCTGTATAAACTCCCTCCAATGAAGCGTGAAATTTTACCCACACTGAGCCAGCAGAAGCAAGAGAAAAAAAGTCACGGTCATTTCCACACTGTATCCTTTGGCGAACGTCATCCCTGACAATTGCCGTGCTGATGATGCACGGCTGAAGTAATTTGGACAAAAATAAAAATCATAATTGTCCTGTGCTCTGAAGCTTTTATTAGGCTCTTGTCCTAGCTGCTGATGTGGCCTTATTTATGCCGATATGCAGGCCTATCTGGTTACAGTATAGTCAAGTTACATGTACCTGTTGCTTGACTAACTTCATGTAGGTTTCTTGACAAACAATTCATTGTAGAGTCATTAGGTGTAAGTAAACCAACCCTATTGTAGCATCCCTTCGTTCAAACAATCCTTCATTTCAGCCTGGTAAGGTCTACTTGATTCCTGTGTGACTATGCTGTTTGATCTGAGCACAGCAGCTGCTGTAAAATCCTTTCTGTTGACTTACATGTACACCTATGGTGTACACAGTCCTAGAGCTACAATTCATGTACAAGGAGTGGTTTTTATGTGACAGAGATAGTAGCAGAGCGATGTTCGGATGTGGTGACTACGTGTAAGCCCAGGCTGAATCTTGATAGCACCAATGCCCTTTGATCAAATAAAAGTCAGTCATCAGCCATCGCAAAAACATCAATGCAGCCAGTCCACTGAACACATACATGTAAGACTTCCAATCACATCAGAAATGCAATGCTGACTTTATTTGTTGGAAATACAAGCGAGAGAAAACTCATTACAACTTTCTCAACAAGAGAAAACAACTCACAACAAAGAGTCTACGCTGTGAAGCATCTGATCTGAGTGACGGGTATGCACATCGGAACTCAATTACTTCAACCAGTGTTCCTGGCCTTACCTTTGTGAAAGGTTCCAACATGATGCCACGATTGTTGACAGAAGGCATTGAAAAAACACGTAAGATCCATTGAACAGTTAACAATCTGCTTGGGCATGTGGGGTTGGTGGGCTCGCTACAGCGTGGGTTTCCATATTGAGAGAATTCAGCAAGTCTGAGAATATTCTGTCGGAGCTGTTGTAGGCCTACACAAAGTGCAAAGGGATGCTTCCCGAGTTCCAGTATTTCTCTTGATAAAACCAAGGTGACAACTGCTGACAACTGTTCACCTTTGAATTTACTGCAACAAACTAAGTGTACATACATGTACACTGTACTTGCTCAACTGAAGTTGTACAACTTCCAATAAAACCAAGGCAACCAGCTGGCCCTTCACAGTGTCTCGGTTCAAAACCACAGAGATAACCAGATTTGTGAACACACAATGTCACAACCCTCCGCCAAATAAAACCGTCACGTTTTAAAGATTAACACACTAAAGGAGGCATAGAATTCATAAAACCTTTTGGTGAATTTTCTTCCAGGTTACCGAGCTTCTAATAAGCGAGTAAAGTTCGACAGCAAAATGCGACTTGGTGTTTTTTCCAACAGCAGACAGTGATTGATGGACTTCACGCCTCATATATCCACCCATCCGCGCCACTCTCACGTCAATAAAGTGACACCAGTCTTGCCAGCGCACTACACTTCACTCACAGTCACACTTGGTTGTTTGTTCATAGGATTAACTCAAAAAACGATCGAAATTAGCCACTCACTCAGAGCATGGAACAAGGAACACTCGCCTCAGGATAAATGGTGCGAAAGACTGTCATATTTTGCTGTTTTCAAGCCCTTTCAAATGCAAAGTTTGTGCATTATTTAAACTTTTTGAAATCAATACCGACAGGGTTTTTCAGTTTGACGTAAGACGATTTTAACATGCTGCAAATCATCAGCGCAGCCGGCGCGCGCGGCATAAAAAATCCGAAGCAATACGCCCTCTGTTGACAGCATCGATGCTCTCATCAGCCGTCGCGATTTGGTCACGGTGACGGGAACGCGATCTCGTGAGCGTCCACTGTCGAGCGACAAACCGACAACATTATGTACACGGCGACAAACTTTAATTTTTCAATACAATTATGCATGCCACTTCCTATTTTAGATAAATTTGTTGTCAAATTTTAGGTCATATAGGTGATCTTGGGACAGCACTAATTTCTCTGCAAAAAGCAACAATGAACAATACTAAACAGACAAAGGTGCAAAATTCTCAAAAAAGGGAGGGGGGGAGAAGATATTCAAATACCCGAAACGTCGGTAAATTTAATACACTTATGAAAATAAAGTTCACCAATATTTCAACTACAATTTCGCCGTTTCCACGTTTATGATTGTGTGTTATTTCAATGGCACAACGCGGGCTGCCTATCAATTATTATACCTGTGTTGGCGATGATGACGTGATCAACGAAGTCGGATGTTGTGTCCATCTGATTTACCCGAAGCATGGTTCTCCTTGTATCACTAACGAGATTGATGATAACGTAGTTGAGATGTCCACACCAGAATGTAACGTGTCCTGGGTTCAATTCTGTCGACCGTAGTTTGTTCTCGTAGCTGTGAACTATCAGAACCGCATCATACCAACAGCACTTCGCGTTGGTAAAGGCTGCAATTCCACTTTTGGAAAGTTGGCAAAATCTACTTTTAAAGCCAAACAGCACGATTCTGTCTCATATCGTGAACGGGCTGCACATATAACATTGGTCACGTTTTGGTTATTGTCAGTTGTTGCTGTTATTGTCAATTCCAAACGTGGCCGACCGTGCTCTGATTTACTGACAATGCAGTAAAGTCTATATAGGCCTAGATTCTTTATAATCGTGGACTAATAATGAAATTCCCTCCTTGGCAAAGTTGGTTTCCTATTGAGCAGTTCTATTTGTTTTGTGACTTGGAGCGTAAGTAAATATCTCATTTGACAGGGGACACGTAGTTAATGATGAAATATGTGAACAAGTTTCCGTGTTGAACCGAGTTTGTTAACATGCTCCTTTCCTCAAAATCAAGTTTTGAAGTTGTTCTTTGAATTGAAAAGGGCATATTCTAATGTCAATGTTTACTCATTGAGAAAAAAATTATCCAAACAACAAATGTATTGTTGGAAAAGAAGTTTAATTATTTTGGTGCCAATGGCTGTATCTTTTACCGCTCCAAGAGTCAATGAATTGAGCAAGAAATGTTGAGCAACGACTTAAAGTGCACATCGTTTAGCTCTGCCTCGCTGTAGTCCTAGAGATGAATGGTCGGGCGGCAACACATGGGAAATTTAAAAGGCATGCCTCGGGCCTTAAATGCATGTGTTTTCCTCAGGGGAACATGAAAAATAACACAGAGAAATTAAAAAAATCCTGGTCGTGTTTTATATTAAGAGAAACGTGGGGCAAGCTTATGTCTGGATTTAAGAAAGGTGGGCTAGCTACACAAAAAATCTTATTGCAATATAATAAATTATGTAAATCCTTATCAGCCGCAGGTTAATTGTTGAATAATCACATTGTACTTTTTTAAAGTGAAATAAAAATCAAGGTGTTTTTGTTTTGTTAATGCTTTGTTTAGTTCTGTTTTGTTTTTATTTGTGAGCATGCTTGTTTGTTTTTTCAGTCACTGTTCCAAGTTGGTGGTGCTATTGCTTTTAAGTGTAGCTGCAATGAATTTTTGTTGCACACAATTTTTCTGCATCTTTCTACTCTTCTCTTTTATACTCCTGTTTAGTTGAATGCACTGAAAAGTGCATGTTTTTAAACAATTAAAATGATCCATGGAAATGAGGGCGCTGTTGCTGTGACATCATCTAGGGAAGCCATGGTTCAGTGCATAGGTGTTTCAGTTCAAATTGTGAACCCAGAATTCACGTACTGAAAACATTTATGAGAGAGGGACTGGCATTTTCTTGTTGCTATGCACATGAACAACAAAGAATCAGCAAAGAAGAGAAAACTGAGTCCAGGAAAATCTACAAAAGTGCAGAACTTTTTGTGTACAAACCAATGTAACACTGAGGCTTCTTCCTGAAATGACATCACAGTTTTGCTCTTGAATATGGAAATACTCGTTTGCACAAAAGCCAAAAAGGCGTAAAATATGCTTTGAAATAATGAAACAGAAGTTGAAAATGAGGTTGACTGAGGCAGAAAGATGCATTTTAGAGGTTTGTAATCACAAAAATCTATTGCAGCCACCCTTCAATAGGAACACTGCAGCAAATTATAGGCTCCAAGTCGAAGTGTGGATTTATACATTACGTGATCTGAAATCTCACTCATTTGAGATCAATGAAGCTACAACCAAATCGATAGCATCAGGAAAAATAATTAAGTTGCACGCTCTTTGTTTTCTGTGACCTTTATCAATCAGATTTCTATGATAATTAATTTCACAAAAAGAAGAACTAAACCATAGTGGTACATTCATCCAATAACTCGCTCCATGGAACCAAAATCGAGACAACAAAATCTAATGTCCGCTTACATTCTTCTTTTCAGTAAAAACAAAAGAGACTCACATAAAATCATTATTCAACAAAATCTCCAGCTAGGAAAGCTAGTATTCTGACTTTTACAGTCTGTATAATATCCCCAAAGTAAGAAAATGGGCAAACTATGATAACAAAATGTAACATTTTGATAATTGTCACGTCACTTTAAGCTAATTTCCATATACTATTGATGCACACATACAGTACAAATAAAACCCCTTTTGGCTTACTTAAAGTATGCAGGAAACAATTTGAAATAATAATGCATGTTAGCTTGAAAAGCACATGCTTTATATAGAGACATTCGACAATGACAAACAAACACATCTGACTAGACAGAAGGTAATTGAAATCAATTTACATATTCAACAGAAGACCCAGAATTTGCTTTCTTTTTTTTTTTTACTTTTTTTTTTCCAAACTAGTGACATGAATGTGATGTACACTTACAGTATATATACGTACAGCCTCATTGTGGAACGTTTTTTTTAATATCTTGTGCCTCTTTCTGGTTCGTAAATGACTTCATCATACACACAATCACCACTGAATGAAAGTTGCATGTTAAATTTCATTCCACAGTTCTAATGACACTGTATGTGCAGTGGGAGTGATGTCATACTTACTAACTAGATTATGTAACTGGCAATAGTCTTGGTTCAAGGCATTTCTTTGTATTGGGAAAAGTATGATCATGAAGTCTGGCAAATGGTTGGCCACAAAGCAACACTTGAGAGAAAATACAAAAAAAGTCTTGAAACAAGACTAAACTGCAACAGCATAAGATTGAGCATAATTGGTCCATGTGTTGATGACATCATAATTAGTTCATAATTAGTTTTCTATGGAATCGGTAGGGCCAACGGTCCACTGAGCACCATAGAAAAACACATATGTAAACAAAGTGTGGCATCATCAGCAGACAGGTTTATTGCCAATGTGCCTGTTAGTACATCCAGCACAATATGTGGCAAAGGGAAACACCCCCCCAATGTGATGCACAAGCCATATACCCTAAGGCTAATTCTCCTACTGCATCCCCCCTGGAAATCTGAAAGGAATTCCAAAGACTCAATAGAGATACAATAGAGGGGGGTCCCCTTCGCCACATATCGCACACCAAATGCCCATTAGTGGCATCAAAACATTGACACAGAATACAATAAATGTCTAGCTACTAAGAATTGCTAACAAAGAATATTCCTTCCCTCTCTTTTTACTACTTTTGAGAAAAATCCTGACAAGCATCACATTGACTACCCCCAAAAAATTTCATTCTGAAAGATTCCGGTTTCAATTAAAGCTCTTTTAAGCAACACTGAAGGCAGTCTGTTTAAAATGTAAAAAATAACCACAACGACATTAGATAAGCAATGGTGCAACTGATCACAAAAATATAGCCAAAAATTATTATTATTATTTTTTTTACAAATTACCTTCCAACTTTTTTTCTCACACACAAGAAGTGACCAAAGTTAAGTCCATAAATTAAGTTTTACAATGCAAATAATTGTATGGATAATTTGACTGATTATACATCAGTTCTCCATGTCGTATTTTCTCGGGTCACTTTTTTATGAATCTTGCAATGTACCAATAAATGTGCTATAGTCCACTTATTCAGTTTTAAATACAAGTATTAAGTATATAACTTAAACCAGATATGCACCACACAAACTTGTTGCCATCTATGTATGCCTTGTCTTTACCTACAATGGCAGAACAATTTCCAAAGTGGGGGGGGGGGCCAGTTCTTAGCCCATCAGGCATCAGCCATTAATAGGCTGATCCATCAAGCCCCATCCTATGATAGGGTATGCAATAGGTGGGGGTGGGGGCATCCCCGGATGAAAAAGTGGGGAGGCCACTGCCCCCCCCTTCTGCCACAAGTGGCCATTACTGTACTTCTTGGAAATCAATAGATAATGATCTTAATGCGATTATCTGACAGTTGAACCAGTATAAAAAAGGCCATGAGACAGGTGGCTGCACTTGTTATAAAACTGTCAATTAGGCCTTAAGAAAAGGTGTATAGAGAATTATCACTATTGCAAATTCTCTGTGCATAAAAAGGTGTGTACTTGATGCAAGCTGTTGAAACCCAGAACATTTCATCTTTGAGTTTTCATACTTTTATCAGTTTTCTTGATTTATTTTTATTTAAGCTTACACCCAATTTCTAAAACATGGTTATGCCTGTTCAACTTTTTCCTTTTACAAATTTACATTCTGTGCTGCTGATTTGGAGACTAAGCGCACTTCAGGCTTATTTTGGAAATAACGGAGTCTAACAAACCAATATGCACAAACGGGATTGGTCATTTTTCAGTGAGGGACAAAGGTGAAAGGTCACAAACTTAAGACATACAATCATTGAATGCATGTCTTTGGGGCCTCACGTCACCGTCAGGCCGCGACGAATTGCCTGTCCAATAGCCCAGGGCAATCAAATTTTCATTCGAGCAATTAAAATTCTGACTAGCTGAGCACATTCCGGCAAGTCCAGAAAAGCTTACCTGCTTTAGTAAACCAACTGCTTTATGTGCTAAAGATTAACTTTGAACATCAGTTATAATTCCAATATGATTAACATTAGCAAAAGTATTCCAATCGTGTTTCAGTCTTAAGTGCCAACTTCACGCAGGTGCCATTAACGTTAATACCATTTTCTCTCAGCTGATCAGGGTTTCCGACCAACACTAATTTCTCAGCGAGACTCAAAATTCGGCAAGTTAGAGAAACAAATTTAAAAGAAATAAAAAATAAAAAGAACAAATCCTGAAGTCTTTCTGTCTTCACAAAACACCGTTCAACAACATTTTCTCATGTTAAAACGTTTGTTTTTATATGTTTTCCTGCTAACATTTGCAATGTTGAAAAGAAACTTTTGAGTTCCCATTCGCGTTTCGCTGTCGCAGTGACGAAAACACGTGCGCAAAGTTCAATGTGTTAAAAGAAGCTGCGCTGGTTCCCACCACACCGCGCCCATGTAAAAGAATGCGTGATGGAAATGTGGCAACCAGTCTATACATGTAGTGTATGTTCCGGTCGATTACTATACATCGGCCGTACACACATGCAACCCTAAAGCTGCAGATTGAAAAAACATCCATGTTTATCATGTTGCAAGAGGAATTTAATTCACACAACTTGGTTTCTTGGCTGTGTATTTATTTTCTGTGTTCATGAGTTTAATTTGTTTTGTTTGTACTTGAAGCGAGCTTGTTTCAACAAATTTCCTGCTGTGGCACAAGGTTTATCGCCCGCCGGTCTGGATGCATCACACGCGCCTACCACGCGATACACGGACATTGTTGGCCAGTTTGCTGTCGTGATTACCTGAGCAGCACTGTGTGAGTTATCCATGATTCTTGGGAATTGTCAACTATAGAAAATTTTACATAGATTAAGACAGGTTTGCATCACTTTTTGAAATAATTTTGGAAGCTTTCCTCCCCATATTTCATGCTATTCAATCAGCGCAAAAAAAGTGAGCCCCCCATTAAAAATTTTCCAACCTACTGACCCTGTTTTTAGAGGCATGTGATTGGAAGCACAATTGCGTTTCTGCTCTAATTAAACACTGCAGTGGGCCAAAGTTAAATAACCATAATAATTGTGGATTCCAAGAAATCTTGGGCAAGTGTTGATCCAATTCGGGCAAGCAAATTTATGGCATGACCCGCCCGATCAGGCAAGCTAAAAAAATAAAAATTCGTCACGGCCTGCACACAGTTGTGTCGCAAAACAACTGATCACAGCTAAATTTCATTTTCGAAAAATAAGAGAGAGGATTAGTAGGGAGGTCTTTCATGTTACATGTATCAGGAACAACATAACTTCAAGTCTCAAACTCACATGGACAACGAAAAATAATCAGACTGGTGGGGGAGGCTACAACTACCCGGTAGGCTGCTCTCTGCCTACCATGCAACAAACCCTCAATATATTCTACTTTTTCAAAAGGGTCTATCACACTGACAATGCCATCTGTATTTACACAAGCACTTCTCTTCTTAGTCTTTTTTCTTCTACTGAACTATGACCTATCATCTGAATAAGTTTCCACTTTCTACGTGTCCAGATCATGTGTTTTAACAAGCCACTGTTAATAAATAGTTAACTTTTAAGGCTAATATAAAAGTTGGAGAAAAAACAAAACAATTACAGTAGGTTACCTGTCTCTGAGTGTATCGTTTACCTTACAATTATATAATATATTTACATTTTTATCAGAGGAGTTGTGGTGTAAATAAAGGAATCGGTAGAAAGAAAAAGGACAAATCTTTA